GAAATCATCCTGATCCCATGCTTTTTCACAGCAATATTTAATACCAGAAGTCGACAGAATGGCATCTGCAACATACAAAGGCACGACGTGTGTAACCAAGAATAGTATCCCCAGCCCAGCTGCTCACACAGAAAGGCAATAAGTGATATTCTCAAATATGAAAGAACTCTAGAGCATGAGGAATTCATAATCCCTTGGCTAAAAAAACAAAGTCAATAAAAATTTTAAGACAAATGCCAGTAAAATCCAACCAACCAAGTGATAAATTAAAAAGCAAACTAAGTAATGGAAAAGTCATGGTAAAAGAACTGGTCCTGAGCATTGCTTCCAGTTAAATAGAGAACTCGGATTGATCAACAGAGGAAATCATGTTTGCAGGACACAGTGTTAGTGCTACAATGCTGACAAAGAAAGATAATTCAAAACAAAAGTCAGGAGGCAGAAGGTGGGAAGGAAAGGAAAAGTGATGAGAAGGAGAAGTTTTATCATTTCATCTTTCCTATCAGGTTGCCTGTCAAACACTATTTAAAGTTGAAATACGTAATTTAAGAAAACTATGATTCCAATCTTGTAAGAGCTTTTATACATTAATGGGATGACAGAAGACTTATTCTTTCTTTTTTTTTTCCTTAAGGGGGAGGTAATTAGGTTTATCTATTTATTTATTACTTTTGGTGGAGGTACCAGCGATTGAACCCAGGACCTCGTGCATGATACACACACGCTTTACCACTGAACTATACCCTCCTCCCCCTGCTTATTATTTCTTATTGATTAGAAACATTGGCGATTCCTCAAGTTTCACTTTAGCTTCTTTTTCTTTTAAAATTTAAATAAAATTAAATGTGCTATTTTATACAGAGGATGATTGCATTATTTCAAAATCATGTTTTGTTTAGCCATTCAACCATCTGTCTATTCACCCCGTATATGACCAGAAAAAGATGCACAGAATGATATTCACCAAATTATTTTTAGGTGGTTCAAATTTAAGGTGATTCTTGATTTCTTCTTGGTACCTTGCTTGGTTGTGGTTTTTATAAGCAATATGTGGAATTCCCAGGTGCCCACCAAAATTTTTTCGTATGTCTTGTCTGCACCCATGGCTAAGCCATGTTTCCCAACCTCTCTCTCACAGTTACATGTAACCATGGGCCTAAGTTCTCTTCAGTAGATTGTAAGCCAAAGTTCAACTTCCACCTGGCATGACCTTTGATGTCCTCCTCCTTCCTGCCTGGTGAGCGGAGACAACTTAGAAAGCATGTACTGTAGATCACAGATGTGCCAGCCCAGGAGTCTGAGAAAGTCTATGGAACAGAGGCACAGAACAGCCAGAAATGCCCACCTTGGTTGTGTTACATGGGAGAAGAACAATGGTTGTGTTCATTAAGCCATGTTATTACAACTTCCATAACAGAGCATCCTATTTTTTTGGTATAATTAATGTAAGTATGCAAAATTATAGTCAAAATAAATAAATAAATCATAAGCCAATAATCTAAAAATAGAATCAAACTAATCTAACAAGTAAATAAAATCCAGGTGAAACTCCTGGCACATAGTCACAGACTCCAATTAGTCTGGCAGCAGTGTGAGGATGAATGTAGCTGCCACCATCATGACGGAGGACAGTGGAGGATGGATGGACTTCACCAGCTGAGACACCGAGTGGTAATGGCACTTAGTGGTCTCATAGAGTTTCTGAATTGAATTCATCTTTGAGACTTGTTTGTTTTTTAGAGGTAGTCTGGGTTATGGTGTTTGAGATTAAATTTTAAAAATGTTTTCTCTAAATTCAGAAGAATACTGGCCTCTAATATCATGATCCTTGCTACTCAATCAGATATTTCACTTGGTTCTAACTAAGCTGTTGGATCTAGACCAACCTATGTTCTCTAAACACTGTTTCACAGCATTTTGAAAATTATTTTTGATGTAGATCCTTTCTACATAGATTAATTAAACACCTATGTCCAGAACATGGTCTGGGATATAACACCAACATCATAAGCCAATAATCTAAAAATAGAATCACCCCATTTATCGTGCTTTTGACATGTAATAAGAGACTACAGCTCCATGTCAGGGTACAGGGCTACTGAAGGCCAGTGAAATGATTCAGACCATTTAGCTACTAATCCTGGAATCAAAGTGTCTATACAGAAAGACTACGTGAAAACTGAAGGGGGTCTCAAGAGGCCATTTGGTCCAGGCTCTTCCAAATAAGGTATCAAATACTTTTCATAAACTTTTTAATGAAGCTGCAGGATGACAGGTTTCCAGCGTTTATTTATCACCAGAGATAAATGGTTTTCAAAGAATCACTGAGGAGAGGAACATGGGAGGTTAAACTAAAATCTCTCATTTAGTTCTCTTCACATATAGGCCCCTGAAAAATATTTTTTGAACTCCAAAAGTTTTTTTTTTTAATTTTATGAAAGAACAAATTGGAATATGCAAGGCATGAGAACCCTAAATGTCTGGCTCACTTCCTCTTAAGAAATAAAAATCTTTCAACAACATGTTTATAAATTACAAGCCAGACACAAATACTAATTTCTCAGTCCAGAGATATCCAATTTCCATTATAATGCATTTAAATCTCTGCAAACAAGAGTGGTTTTAGAAATCACGCCAGTCTCAGATGTCTAAAACAATGTCGCCTGATTCTTTTCCGAAGTTAACTTTATACCAATTAGCTATTATTTCTGGTGAGTACTCAGCCTCCTCAAAGATAACCATTCCACTCCCTTTATTCCTGACTGTCTTATTAATTTTGACATTTTTCCTTTTATGCATTAAGGTAGCAATAGCAGCACAATCAAATTCATCAAGTCGAGAAAGATACTTCCAATTCGAAATCTAATTAATTTTTCATGTTCATTATCTTTTAAGAGTGTTTCCTGCAAAAGGACATTATCTGCTCCTCTTTTCATGATAATTGATACAGTTCTTTCCCCACTCTTTTATTTTTTTCTGATAGGTGAGGAAAGACCTTTTAATACTTATACTTACAATCTTGCCAATAACTTTTTAAAGGAAACGTATTAAATATGCCATTCAAGAAGTATAATGTGTTACAAAAATCAGATCCATTAGAATAAGAAACTCATTAAAGGGTAAGATTAAAGAGTTTACAGAAGTACACTGTTCTTTTATAAAGCACTGAATTATTAATGTGAAACATGGTGACATCCATTACCCTTGTATTTTTAAGCAATCATATAAACAAGAACATTATTTTAGTAAAAAATATAACAAACAATACACTCAATATTTTTAAACATTGACTCCAAGTAGGATATAATAAACTAGTTTAAAGAAAAAATAAATGTTAGAAGAAAACCATGAGGGTGTGTCTGTGTGTCCATGTGTCTGTGTTTTAGCAAAGAAAGGGAAATATTCTGAACAGTCAAAGCTACTTCATGTACCTAAAGATTCAGCTGTGCACTAAAAAGAAATAAATAGTAAACAAAAACAGTCTTTCTCGATCTACAATGAGGTTACATCCCGATAAACCATTGTAAATTGAAACTATTGTAAAGTCGAAAATGCACTGAATATACCTAACCTACTGAACATCATAGCCTAGCCTACCTTACACGTGCTCAGACATTTACATTAGCCTACAGTTGGGAAAATCATCTAATGCAAAGCCTATTTTATAACAAAGTGTTGACTATCTCATGTACTTTATTGAATACTGTACTAAAAGTGAAGAAAAGAATTGGTTGTCTGAGTAGAGAATGGTTGTAAATGTATCACCCTTGGGATCACATGGCTGACTGGGAGCTGCTGTCGCTGTCCAGCGCCCTGAAGGAGTCTCATACCACACATCGCTAGCCTGTGGAGAGATCAAAATTCCAAGTATGGTTTCTACTGAAGTTATATCGCTTGTACACTGCCATAAAGTTGAAAAATCGTTAAGTCGGGGACGGTGTCTTATATAAAATAATAACAACTTTTAATGTTAGCATTAAAAAGGCAGAAGTGGGTGAAAGTTTGCCATTTGGTATTGGAAAACAATTCTTTATTTATAATATATATACCTACTATGTATGTCTGCTTAAGGTATGCCTGAGGTTATGAAAGTGTCCCAGCATCCATCCTCAGCCCACCTACCCTGATGGGCCAGAAAGCTACATATAACTAAGAGTGAGAGGACAGTCATGTTGTCAACGAAAAGAAAAGAGACTTCTATATATCCAGAGGGAAGGCAGTACAGTGGGGATAAGTCAGCTGAAATGAACGGAATCCCAGCTTCTGGGCCAGCAGGTCCTGTAAAACAATGCCTGGGCTAAAAAGAAAACAGAGGTGGTGAGAGTGGGAGAGGGAAGAGCATGTGCCAGAGGAGGCAACTGCTTTTCAAACTTGAACTCAGGACAGTTGCTTTTCTCTTCAGGGTATGGGTATGCTGAGTCCCCGAGAAATGATTAGTTTAGGTCAACCTGGGTTGCCTCACAAGTCAGAAATGAAGAGAACGTCCAAATGGAAGCTTGGTAAGGCTGGCTAAATGTAGACTACAGTTTTCTTCACTTTTCATGCTCACTATTTTTTAATTAACTGTTGTGGTGGATACTAATCCTTTCCTTCCTTCAGTAGAACTTGTCGCCTTCAGTTGTCTTCTCAGCAGTGGAAACACGCTCGCTTACACTTGGGAATCAACAGAACAGATTAGCAAATTGAAACCATAGCGTTTGTCTCATGAGTAGTATTTTTCTCTGTGAAAATCTAGCTACTTCATTAACTAGGAGCGAATCCCTATACTCAGCTTCATTAAGCATATGTCTCTTCAACAGAAATCCCCAGCCCCAAAGACACTGAAATGCATGTGAAATGGGCAGAATAATTCTGAGGATTCATGGAAACATACACATTTGTCTCTCTGCTCAGGTAGAGATTTTAACATAGTAAAGAGGACATTCAAGGGAACAAGATTACAGTTAACAGTAAAAAAAAGGAAAAATGCCAAAAGGAAATTAGAGGATTTGAAAGTTTTACCTGAATTCATCCAAGTCTCACCATTGAAGAAGATCAGGGTGTCGGCAGTTTCCCAAAGAATTTACATGGCAAAACCCCTGCTGGAAAAGCCACAGTCCCACACCTGAGAGTTCACATCAAAAACAAAACAGGCTCTCAGCAGGCATAACTACATTTTGAAGCTGATTTAGGACATAAAGTTAATGCTTTCTGAAACTACAGGGTTTTTTTTTTAATGCATTTGTCTTATCTATAGCTACTTATATCTCAAATCTTTTTCTCTATTGTAGGAGAAAAAGATGTAAGCAAAATTTGAAGAAGGAAACTAAAAGGTGAGCGGTGTTGTGGAAATAAATAAGCTAACATTTCCCTGGCCGTGACTTCCTGCGCTGTACAATCTGAGGAGAGAATAAAATGAGTCTTATTTTCCACAGATGAGTCTCCAATTGCACTCTGAATAAACCCAATCATGACACCATCATCTTCTCCATTTAGTCTTCAATTAGATACTCAGGGCTTAAATGATCACCTTTCCAAAGATGCATACTCTCTCTCCGCAAGAAATACTATTTCCTATCTATGCTATGTTGCTTCCTTCTTCAGGGGAGCTCATTTCTGTGTCCTACAAAAGCGGTTCTGCTTGCCTGATCGTTATCATCATTAAGCATTTATGAAGCACTTTAGACTTATTTACTAGAGCTCATGATATCCGTATAAAATAGGTTGGTATAATGGTCTTCTTATAAATGAGAAAATAGAGGTTAAGTAACTTAACCAAGGTCACACAGATAATTTAGATAAAAGACACAAAGTCCCTGACTTACTGTTTAATAATACCGAAGGGAACTCTAAAATGGCATAAAAAGTTATCTGTTTCAAAACTTTACACCTCAACAGTTACTAAACATGAGTAACAAGAGAGTTTGTTTGTTTGTTTTTTGTCTCTAACCTGTTGACTGATGGCATTATTTTGGTAGCACCGAGATGCCAGGGCCAGTGTCTCTGTAGTTTTCTTGATCTTTCCTTCTTGGTCCCAACATTACAGCTCCAGCTCCAGGTAATATGTCTGCATTCAAGGCAGTAGGAAGAGGAGAAAGGATTTCACTAGCTTTGTCTTCTCTCAGCAGAAAAGAAAAAGTTTTCTCAGAAAATCCCCAGAACAGTTCTACTTTATAAGACTATGTCAAGGGAGGTTGATATGAACATTTAGTGTTCTGTCGTCTTTAGTGAAAGACAATAAAAAGGAAGGGCAATTGCACCAGCCAACCAATGATGTCTGCCACAGTTTGCATAATTTTCCATTGAAAATTCATTTGCTAAGCATCGTTTGGTTCCATTACATGCTAGCATTTGTAAACAGAGCAGTGGGAACCAGTCCTTAAGGTTTTTTTAAAAACTGAGATAAAAACGTGGAAGTTGAGAAAATATTATCTATGGACTTACTTTGGTGAGGGGTGGGGGATGGATGGAATTTTACAAGAACAGGCAAACATTGATTTGGTTGGCTTAAATCTATAGTCTAGCTTATTGTTCTAAAATTGCTATTTTAGTACAGCTGGGCATGCACTTTCCAGAATCCATGCCTCTCCTTTGTTAGTATTAATCCCCAACAGATGTGCCTCCTTCATTCTCTTTTCTATTTATCCAAACCCTATTACTTAATGTAAGGCTCCATCACTCATTTGGCAAACTACAAAACTTTGCCTTGCTAGGACATTCACCACCTACCGTGGGAGTATTTACTGCCTATGAAGAGTCATGATGTAATTTTTCATTTGTTTGTCTCACATCCCAAGGAGTGTGGTCTCTCTTCTGTCATATATACATATATACTGTGAAATATATAGAACCATAGCCAACACTATTGAGTGTTTTGTATGTGTCAGTTAAATAATTTATACATATCATCTTATTTAATTCTTATAACAATCCTATGGGACCAATACTATCATTATCCCCATTTCACAGATGAGATCATCAAGTTTAAGAGGTTCAGCAACTCACTCAAAGATACACAGGTAGTAAGTGATGTAGCTGAGATGCAAATCCAGGCAATCGTTCTTAATCATTCTGATTTTGTTTCTTTTCCCCCAGCTTTATTGAGATTCTATTGACACATCAGATGTATAAGTTTAAGGTGTACAATGTGACGACCGGATATACATTTATATTACAAATGATTACCACAATAATGTTAGTTGACACCTCTATCCCCTCACATGACTACCGTGTGTGTATGTATATGGTGATAACATTTAATATCTGCTCTCTTAACAACTATCAAGTATATAATGGCTGGATGGAGAAGGATTCCTGAATGAGTCAGACCCGAGGAATAACCATTTTCCAGCAGAAGGCAGGGCAAAGAGAATCAAGATAACTGAGAATGAGATGCCAGCTGCATTTCACCAGGTTTGTCCAAATGATAAGAATATTAATTGCTTATGTCAAATGAGTGTGTGTCATGGACCAGATGTTAGGCTGAGCACTTTACAAACATAATTGCATTTCACATTCACAACACTTGGAAGCAGGTATAAATATTATTTCCATTTTACGATTTGAGAAAATTCAGACCTAGGAAAGTTAAGAAACACACCCAAGGGTCATGGAGATGGTGACTGGTGGAGTTTTTAGGGTGGTCTTTCCGAAAACAAAGTTCAGGTTTGTTAAAATTACATCCTAGTGCATACTATTAAACAAAGTCTCAACTCTAACTCAAATTAGAAGCAAATAACCTCCGTTTGCAACTTTGCTCACTTTAAGCTGCAGACAGGATGTTATTTTCATTTTCCTGCTTTTTGTTTTCACCCGCGTACATCTGTGTCTGCAAAGAAGGCAATTCACTGCCTCACTCCCTCGAGTAGAAAACACTGCAACAGTCTATTCTGAATCCTTCTTTCTTTCAGGTTTATTGTTAGAAAGGAGCATCCAGATCTTGGTACCAATTTCCTAAATTAATGCTCCAGCCAAAAACTGGAGCCAACTCTGGACCATATTGTGCACCCCATTCTCAGAGGGTAACGAGCTTGAGTTCCATCAACAAACACCACAGCACATTTCAAGCATTGCCTAGAATTCATGTCTCAAGTTATTCATTATAGACAATGCCTCTCTATGCAGCCTGGAGATAACTGTGTGGTTTTTAAATCTCAGTGTCTCTAGTTTACTGCATCTATACACATAAAAAATAGCTAAGGCCCTAATTTTCATTAGGAACTAATGGCCCACAAAATTTCTGGTCTTAGCTTAAAACTGTGCTTGAGTTAGAAGCCACTAGATTTCTCTTTACTCTTCTATAACTTAAATTATCCAAAATTGACATCATATCATTTTGACCATACATGATGTAGATTATCCCCCAAGCAGAAAATATTAACAAATTTTAACTTTAAAAGAAACTTAACAAACCTGGACAAATTATAAACTCTTGAAGCAGAGAGTTCTTCTCCAACATTCTGGTGAATTCTAACCTAATTATTATGGCCATCTAGAATATATTTGAGATTGTATCCAATGGTGCGTGTATTTCCTAACATATGAGTAACAAGATGCAATGCGGGGCTCCCATGTTATTTGAAACATTAACACTGTTGGAGCTCATGTGAAGGGTGTAAGTTGTAGAGGCTCCAGATCTGGGACAAAGCATGCCAGAGCAGTGAGTGTGTGTCCTGAGGGAAGAGCAGTGGTCGCTGGGTGGTCTTGGCTCTCTGAGAAAATGACTGGAAGCATTTTAGGTCCTTTGGCTTGAAATCAAATAGTTCTTATGTTGACCTTGAGTAGGCTACTCAACCTCTGTGAATTTCCGCTCCTTATCTGTAAAATGGAGATCATGATGTCTGTGTCCACTGTCAACTGAGCACCAGACATTCTCTGTATAAAGCACAGAGCACAGAGACATGGATTACCCTGTGGGGCATCTCTTCTTGAATGTTCCCCGGGCACTTAAAACCCAATATATCCCCAAAATGAACTCATCGACTCCTTCCTCCATCACCACTTCCACCCCATTCCAATTACGCAAATCAAAATCATAGCTGGCTCCCTCTTCTCCTTCATCTTCTGTATTTAATTGGACCTGAAAATGCTGTCAAAATTGCCTCCTTGATATATCTAGTCTCATACCAAAATGAAACAAGTTTTCATATGATTCCAAGGCCTTCCTAGAAAAAATGTTAACATCAGTCCCATCTCTTGGCCCATTTTTCTCACTCTTTAAAAGCTCAGGAATCTCTACAGTCCAAGGTCTGCCACTTCTACTGATACCCCAGGACAAAATTTCACTTATAGCATTATTACCTTAAAGTGTCCTCTTACTGACAGTGTAAGAAAATGATAAGGCAACTTTCAAGGCTATTTAAAGCCATCAAGACAGTCATCCACAGAGCACTGCCAGCCTCCTCACATCATCCTGGCACACAGATACAATGTGGTAGGATAACAGGACTATATTGAAATGTTTACCAATCGTATTTCCCTCCTTGGTAACTGTTCTGGGTTGAATTGTGCTACCCACCTCCCCACCAATTCATTTGTTGACGTCCTAATCCCTAGAGCTTCAGGGTGTGACCTTATTTGGAGACTGGGTCTTTCTTTACAGGAGCAATCAAGTTAAAATGAGGTCATGAGGGTGGGCCCTAATCCAATATGACTGGTGTCCTGATAAGAAGAGGAAATTTGGACACTGACACACTCAGAGGGAAGATGATGTAACGACACAGGGAGAAGACAGCCATTTGTAAGCCAAAGAGGGAGACCCAGAACACATTCTCCCTCACAGCCTTCAAAAGGAACCCAACCCTGCCAACACCTTGATTTCAGACATCTGGCCTCTAGAAGTGTGTGACGGTGCATTTCTGTTGTTGAAGCCTCCCAATCTGCAGTTCTTTGTTCCAGCAGCGCTGGCACATTAAGACAGTAATCCAGATTCTTTCCCAACAGCCTTTTCACCTGCAGCCAGGGAAGGGGTAGCTGAGGATTTCTGAGGGAAGGAAGAGGATGGGGTTGAGGAGTGACTCGTGTCAGGCTGAAAGGGAGTCACTCAGGACCCATCCAGAGTCATGGGAAAGAGCTGATTTGGGCTGGAGAGGCAGGGAGGAAGAGGAAGAAAGAAAAGAGAGAAGAATAAACTATGAAAGGAGAGAAGAATCAAGACTATCTTACATTTCTACCATCCCTAACTCCAGAGTTGAACTTCGGTGAAGGGATGCAGTTGGAAACATGCCTTACAAGGGTTGTTCCTCACGCCTCTGGAAATGTGCAAGCCCCTTAGAGAAGTTTTGAGTTGCTCATGATGCCACAGCACCATGGTCCCAACTGTGATGGGAGTGGAAGTGGAATTGACCAGGGTGCCCATCCAGGTGGATGGATGGAGCCAGCACTCCTGATTCTGCACAGTCCAGCACCCAGAAGCCCCCATGTGCTCCAGGGGTGGGGGAATATGTGAGTGCTTAGCAGAATTGTGAACCAGGAGAAGCCCAGGTCAGAACAGAGCCCTCAGGGTGGGGAAACTCAACCACAGGCAATCTCCCCTGACTTGGGCAGCAGCTGCCAGTACAAAGCCCACAGTGCGAGACAGGAACCCTACCAGCTTTGGGGCACCCACTTGCTTGCTCAGAGATCAGATGGAATGAGACATCGCTGGGAATGCAGACAAAATCCCAGAGGACAATAAGGGAAACAAAGGGTCCCTCCCCTACTCCCATGTGGACACTTAAGAATCAGCTGGCCCCCGTGTGGCCTCTCGTGAAGGACAAAGGCAGGAGAGGGCCCCTGTGTTGAGAGAAACAGACAGTAAGTTTGAACTTTGGAGTACGTGTTTACAACATGAACACTAGCAAACTAGTACAGTAATCCGGATTCTTTCTCTGCAGAAGATACCGAGCTGCCTGTAACCCTCAAATTGAAGGTTTTGCAGCCACCACTAGAACAGGGGTCCCAGGTAAGGCAAATTTAATTATGATAGTTACTGTTTTTATCTTGTATATCCAAACTGTAGTGAGTAAATTTCTACCCCCACCCCACCTGGCATGAGAGTCAGGTAGCTTACATGTAAAAAAAAATCAA